AAGATCTGGTGGATCTGGCCAAGCTGCTCAAAAACATGAATGTCAGGCAGTGCCTTCACGATGCAGAGCGGAAAAAGCGCATGGGGCAAGGCAATGCTATTTCCAACATGTTTGTGAGCGACCTTCCGATCTGAGCCCAACACACAGTCCTGATTGATACCCATGGCCAGGAGGTGCTCCAAAGGGCTAATGAAGCGCGTGCCACACGGATCATCAATCACTTGCAAGAAGAGTCCCTTGGATTTTAGGAGAAACTTGTCAAAGGTGTGTGCGTGCCCATAGCTGGCCATTGGGGATTCCCACGGATGATGCATTTCACGAAGGCGAAGCTTCAGGGCTCCTGGGCCTTCTCGCTGATTCTTGATACCTTCTGGATGGTATTCCATTTTGTCATAAATCTCTCTCAAGGATTCATCCATGAAGAGGTCTGCATGGTGTTTCACAGGCAGAGTGATCGGGAAAACATCTGCTCGCTCAGGCGATCTGTTCCACCGTTTGACCCAGCTGACGTCTCTCACATCAACCCGCGCCTGAATATCCTTGCGCTGAAAGATTCCAAGCCACCTGATGCGTTGAATGGGTCGCTGGTCCTTCAAAGGGAGTACCTGACTCCAAAGGAGCCTGTATCCTGCCAGTGCAAACGCCTGATTTACAAGCTCATAGTCTGCGTGCATCGGGAAACCACTGACATTTTCGCAGAGAATAAGTTGAGGCCTTGCAACTGACGCGGCTTGTGCAACAATGAGAAACTCAAAACCACCCGGTCCTGATAATCCTCGTTGGTGTGCCGCAAGGCTCCAATCCGGGCATGGTGTGCTCACCATCCACATACCAACGTTTCGTTTCATGGAAACTTTCGCAATGGCACGTGGGCTGACATCCGCGAAAAGTGCAACATGCCTTGCATCAGAAGGTAGGTCCTCGAGGACTGCAATGTCTGCTTTGTGCATTTTCGAATACATCTGAATGGCGTCAAAATCATTGTCAATGCCAGCGATGACCTGATACCCAAGTGAAGAGGCTGCTTGCGTCCATCCTCCTATTCCACCGCAGTAAAGGTCAATCGCACACCCGGCTGATCGAGTATCTGCATGGAAATGGAAAAAATCTGAACGCTCATGAAAAAAGGCAATGCATCTGGTGTCATCCGTGTAAAGTCCAACATTGTGTAGGGTAACATCACCGCCGCAATCGTCAAGAAAATCCAATGAGAGCACATGCACTTCCAAGGGAAAAGCAGGGTGCGGTTCCGTCCACTGGGCGTGGTACAGGAAGATCTTCTCGTCCTTCTGCAGGTCATGGACACCAGAAAAAACCAATTTCCTCAAAGAAACGTTTCCATGGTTCGTGTTCTCCAAAGGTTTGGTCATGACGCCAAAAGGCTGCATTATCGAATTGATGGAGGCAGGGTCATGCCTATCAAGCTCAAGAGGTGATTCAAAGGGTTGTCTCGTCTGCTGTATGCTGTAGATATCTCGGGATTTGCACTGAAAAACACATCGTTCACAGGCAATGTCAAAACTGGAGTCGTATCGGGGCCCTGTCGGCAGGTCACACGGCCACACACCAGGTCAAGAAACCATGGCGACGGCCGGCCTAAGCGGCCATACCGCGTGCAGGTTCGGGCCACATGGCTACAAGCACTTTTCCCGAGCACCGTTGCTTGCTCCAGTATCCGTAGTAGCCCGCATTCGGACCACCGCGCGGCCTACGACGACGCGGCGCACAGGAGCACCGCCGCCGCCAGGAGCTGCCTGAGCAGGAGCGCCGCCGCGAGGAGGAGGAGCTGCCTGAGCGTGACCAGCAGGAGCGCCAGTGCCTGCTTGAGGAGCGCCAGCGCCGTGAGCTTGCTTAGCATGAGCAGGAGCGCCGCCGTGAGCATGATGACCAGCAGGAGCGCCGCCGTGAGCCGCTCCCCTTTATAGACATCATCGGCTGCGCCGCTCCATCATGTTTACGCACATATAGTGGCTGCGCCGCTCAGTCATACCTGCGTGGGCCGCAGAGCAAGGCCTCGAGCATGAATACACAGCAGCGTGCTGGCTCACTGCGCTGTGGGCCTATGTGGAGATGCCCACTGCGCAGTCCTGCCTCCTCAGCCGGTTGTGAGTGCGCAGGCCGTGGTCTCTGCAGCATGAGGAGGAGCGCCGCCGTGAGCATGACCATGAACAGGAACAGGAAGGAGCGTAGGGGGTCTGGCGGAGGGTGTTCTGCAGTAAGGGAGCTCCTGGTACTTGGGCTTGGGCGTCGCGAAGTCTGCCTGCAGGTCATGGCGGGCGGCGCCCCTGCTCATGCTCAGGCAGCTCACGGCGGCGCTCCTGCTGGTCATGCTCACGGCGGCGCTCCCGCTTTTTTTTGGAGTGACCGAGCGGCGCGGCGTGTGCAAGCGAGCGGCGCGGCCGCTATAGAGTCTACATAGTATGATGGAGCGGCGCGGCCACGGATCTCAGACTAACGGAGCGGCGCGGCCGCTGAGTCCGCAATTCCGTCGTGCGGCGCGGCCGCTGAAGGGTTCGCGGGCACGCGTGATATCCGAGCTGCGTGCGAATACGTATTATTATAACATGAAAGTATCTGCAAGGACGAGCCTCCGTTCTTTTGCCAGGATCGCTTCTCTATAGAAGATCTATACGACTGGGCATCTATGTGTTCCGACGCAGCCGAGTGCAAGCCCTCTGCGCCTGGAGCACCCGGAATCCCGGAATGGAACTGGCGCACACGGGTCGCCATGGAAGGAAGAGTAGCTTGGCCGTAGCTTTCGACTTTGCGGTCTTCTTGGCGGCCGGCCGCTTCAGCACTGGCGCCTTGGCCGGGCTCAAGCTGCTCGCCCCCAAGTATCGTTTGACCTCCGTGCGCTTCAGCGCTGAATTCTTGGCCATGTCCGGGCTAATGGCCTTTACCTTGGCCGGTGGTCTGAAGATCCGTGCAAGGCCGCTCTCAGACCCACTTTCTTGCTGTGCGCTTGCGTCCGCAAGTTGGCGGGCTTCGTCCGCTGGCGCAGGCGGCCTTGCTGCCAAGGGGCCGAGGCCGGGGCTGGAGGGGCTGACTGTGCGTTTGCGGGGGCTTCTGCTTGGGGTGGAGCTTGCGGCCTAGCTGGGCTCTGCGCAGTCGTCCTCGAAGGCCAGCCTTGGTCCAGTGGAAGCTGGGACGGGCGGCGGGCTCAGCAGGCAGGTCGGCAAGCATCTTCTGCGCTCGACGGGCTGCCGGGTCCTTGGACACTTTCCGCCCAGCCTGCAGCAGCTGTAATTGCAAGGGCGTCGCGCCCTTGCGCGTAGCAGAATAGTGAAAGCATGGAAGGCATCTTGACCGCAAGGCTGGACGGCGGTGAGTCTTCCGCCGTGGCACTAGGAGCAGGCCGTCTAGCTTGACCGGCATGCTGCCTCCGATCCGCAAGCCGAGCATTGCCAGCGTCTTGAGTTTCTGGGCGTGCTGGTCTGTGAGCAACTTCCATACGGCACTGCTCAGATACACTGGGAAGTACTCCCAGTCCTGCATCAGGATTGTCTCGTTGCTGGAGTGCCGCGCTTAGCGTCTCCTTCTGCGACGAACTGAGGCTCGGTGTCTCCTGCGCTTGCTGCAGCATCTGGAGCGGACACACGCAAAGTCTTGGCCGCGCCCAATGTCTCTTCTAAAGTATAGGCATGCCACTGCGCGCGAGTGCGGCTGCCCTGCAACAAAAACTGCGGAAGCTGTGTGTCTCCGGTCCACCGCGACGCATGAACTCAAAGACAGAGAGGTCCGCCGTTCTGCCTGTGCTGGTGAAAGAATCACAATATCAGAGCGGCGTCGCCGCTTGTCTGGACAATCCGCACGGAGCGGCGCAGCCGCTATAGTATGTGGGGCGGCGTCATGCAGTGCGGCGCTGCCGCAGTATGATGTAAGGAGCAGCGCGGCCCCTGAGTGACGCTATAAGTTACTTCTAAGTCACGCGGCCACCTTGCGCTCCGTTCTGCCCAGACGGGTCACTTTTTTTGAAGACTGAAGATGATCAGAGCTGGTGAGCTTTCCCCAAATGCGTGCCTCCTCATGAAGGCCTTATGGCTGGGACGACTAGCGCATCCTGATATCATCAAGCCCATAGGCGACTTAGCCACCGCCGCGCAGAAGTGGTCTTGTAACTCGACAACGCGCTAGCGGCTGCTTGGAGTCATAAAGGAAAATCCGCAAGATCTTCACTTCGCTCTGTACGCAGATGCCGACTACGCAGGAGAAAGGGGTGCGAAGTCCACATCCGGCGGTTCTCAAAGGACCGAACACCCACTTCCCGTTAGCAGTTCTCTTTGTATCAAGAGGGTCCCCCCTCCTTGACTCTATGGGAACGCTTGCTTAGACGCCCGGTTGAACTGGTGCAAAGACAACCAAGCCACTATCCTGGTTGCTAAGCAAGGTTAGTCGCCGAAAATGCGGCACACACAGCGCACTCATAAAGTGAACTTGTCCGCACTTGCAGAGCAACTCGAACCTGGCACAGCTGTAGTGATCAGACCTACAGGCAGCCGACATCTTCACGAAAGCACTACAACCCTTGAAGCGGGACCATGCTCTCAAGTTATTGGGCATTAGGACAAACTTGCCCGAAAAGTTGAAGGATGGATGTCCTGCCTAAGATGACAAAGCAGAAAAGTGAAGGCAGAAATCTTGAGTAAGCCCTTTCAATGGTGTGGTTCAGGGCCTTGCAACGCATGGATCGCAGCCCAAGCGCGATTTTACTATAAGTTTCCGTCTTCACGGGGAGGGGGGAGTTGAGAGTTCACGACCCCTAGGCCCCCAAAGAGGTACCCAACGGCACGCGTTGCGTGAGGCCCCTTGATGTCTGCGTGTTCAAGTTGAATCGACTGTCGGACGGCAATGACCGTTTGGCTCAAGAATGATGCCCTAGGAAAACCAGAGGTAGCGCCCACGTACCGGATTGGGGTTAATAAGGGTCCCGGTTTCTGGTTCGCTGTGTTTCTTTCCTTGTTGACCCTTGGATGCCCTTTGGATGCCCTTGAATGTTGCAGGAGCACGGAGATTTACCAGTAGAGCTCGGCTGTCGAAGCCCTTTCATCACGCGTGTCGAACTGTCCAAGTTATTCAACTTGAGGCCTGGCAAAGGTGCGCCGGTGGCCTTTGTCCTCATTGCAAAATCTTCACCTCAACAAGGAGGACGCGTTACGACATAGAATGTAGGTGACTTGAGAAATAGACGTGACGCACATGACGCATCATAACGCATTTTTAAAACTTTGTTATCACATGTTTAATGTGTTTGATTTATTTTGTTGACCTGCGTGTTTGAGTTGATTCCCTTTTTTCGCATGTTGCATGTATGTTGGTTTCTATTATTCTAGGCTGTTGTAGTCTTCCTTTTTTTTCTTGGCCGTGAACTCCGACGGGCGCGATGGGTGCGCAAGGACGCGGCCCGCGAGGTCGCCCACCTCGGCCGCAATGCCCTGGTCGCCGTGTCCTCTCGGGCAGCGATTCAGTACGTTTTTGTTTCTGCCTTGATGTTCTTTCATGAATATTTTCCTTTTTTGTGCTACTCATGTTTTGCATGTCTTTCCTTTCAATGCCACAAGTACAGCTCCTGTCTTCCAGCAACGCAGAAAAAAGACAAACACCCATGGTTTTTCAATTTCTTTGCAATTTCCATCTTCATTCAAGGACAACTCCGAGCAATTTCCGAAGGCCGGGTGCTTTGGCTGCTTTGCAGCAGGTCGCGGCTGAAGCCAAGATTCACATTGCCGCTCGGAATGCGAAGGCCGCTTGTGTTGTATGTTTCAGACTGCTTCATGCACGTTCACTGCATTGTGACCTCTGAGGTCGTTGGCACCTTGCCCCCAGTAGCGGCCGCCCCAGGCGTCAGGGTTAGTAGTGAAGCATTCGTTCTAATGCATCTCAAAAAACACCTCTTTCAAGATAACATCTCTCGCCTTCCATCAGCATATTGATATATATATATGCCTTGCGTCCGAGGAGGTGGACTTTGAGACCCAGATTTCTGCAGTGCTCTGAGCTAATTGGAACTGAGCTTCAGTCTACTTCAGTCTCAAAGTGGTTCTTTGAGTTTCCCGGGAACATGCGAAGGGTTCTTCTTCTAAGAACGGCTCCAAACCTCACCTGCCAACTTCCCCTGCCATCTTTTCGAGAGTTACGTCGCCTGATCCTCTGAGTTCAATGAGCTCTTTAACATATTGTTGAATTGTGTGAGTGCAGAGAGTGCTTATCCTGTGAGTTCCGTGAGTGCTTTGAGTTCTTGGGAACTACCACCGCCTGTCAGCGGCGTAGAGCGATCATATTTCATTGACATGTAGTCTTTTTGCTCCTGCGCGCATTGCGGGTCAACCTTGTTTGAGCGGGCCACGCGGTTGAAGTTCAGCGTTGCGCTTGCGACTGGCTTCGTGTTGGGGATGCTGCGGGCCCCCAGCGCGCGAGCTAAAGATGTCGCCAGGCCAGGATTTCGCGGGCCGTGCCCCAGACAGCGGGCGCCCAAGCTCCTTTGTCGGGAGTTTGCGCAGCTTGCAAGAAGGCGCCCGGGTCAACGTAGGCAAGCGGCGCGCGTCGCCCCGGCAAGAGCATAGCGGGCGCCATGACGTTTGCCACACACGTTGCAGCTCTCCGCGCTGCGAGCTTGCTTGCGCAAGTTCGAACACATGAATACTGGTGACCTAGGCTGGTGGCCCGCATCCTGCCTCTGCTGCGCAGGAAGTGGTTGGTTTGAGACCTACCTCGGCTCTGCTGGCCTTTCGCGTTCAACGTGGCCAAGGATGATCGTGGGCCACAGCGTGAAGACCACGCGCAAGAACATCGAGCAGGACAACACATATGCCTTGGCAAAAGCCTGAAGAAGAGTGCTGTGACGCCGCCTCGCAGCAGGCCGCCTTTGATTTGAACTACAAGAAGTCAGCGCGACGCCCGGCTACCGGCGAAAATTCGGCAGCTCCAGACACGTGGTAAAGCAGCGAGCGCAGGCAGAACTTTTGCTGGCGCTATGCAGCGCGAAAAAGCAGGACCCCGGAAAGGCTGGTCAATAATTCTGCGGAAATGTGGAGACACGTAGCAGGAACAGCGCGGCGAAGCCGGACAACTGATTTAGCACCACACGAGATGGGCCGTCTGCCCAAGCGCGCCTTTGTCCTACGCTGTCCGCAGCGCGCAGCTACGATGGAACGGTGGCCTGACTTCCAAGACATAGAGATTGTCGCAAACCGAGCGGACTCGTTCATTGAGTTTTTGCGAGTTCTGCGGCTGCTGTGCAGTCTGTGAGTTGCCTGAGTCTGTGGGTTCCGGGTTGTGTGATTTCTTTGGGTCCTGTGAGCCCAGCGGGGTTGTGAAGTTCTTTGTCAACTTTGAAGTCCTGCGTCCTGCGTTGCGTTCTTTGAAGTTTGTGACTCCGAGCTGTGGTGCAATGACATCGTTGTCCTTGGAATCCTGCGAGTTCTTTGAGCCCGCAAATGGAGCGTGGAGGCGAGAGTTCCTTGAGTTCTGCAAGTACTGTCAGTCGGGTTCTTTGAGTTCGTTAGGTTTTGTGAGTCTTTGAGTTTGGCGAGTTTTGCGAGTGAAGTTCTTGAGTTTGACATCCTGCGTTCCTCTTGAGTTGTGTGAGCCGGGCATGTTTCGGGAGCCCTGGCCGAGGTGCTCTCGGACTTGGCATGCGGTTTCCCAAGCGCTGCCTCGACAGACGCCAAGAACCTGTGGCCTGGGTTTGTGGGGGAAGTCTCCGGCTTGGACCTGGCGCAGTTAGCCGTGGCGTTTGAGGAGCGCCAAAGCCAATGATGCGTCAGCCGGACTGTGTTTTGTTTCAAGCTTTTGCAACAAGCGGGGTCAAGGGCACGAAAGTGTTTCCATGTCGGCCCAAGCTCGCAACGTGTCAGTGATGCCCCCCGCGTTTGTGGCACGCTGGCGGTGTTTTGCGCAAACCTATTCGTTTTTTGCAGGCGCTCTCCAAAAACGTGACTTTCTTTTGCAAGCGGTGACTTGCGGACAAGGGCGTCTGCAAGAGGCTCATGCCTGGCTTGTTGACCAGGTAGTTGGACTGCCCTTCGGTGTGCCAACGCACGGAGTCAGAAGCAGGGGAAACCCGAATCTACGCAGTGACGGGGAAATGTGAATCTTGAGTTCCGCACCGTTCCAACTACCTTGGCGATGCGCGGAGCTTCTTGGTTTTGTGTGTCAGAACCAACCAGCCGCGAAAGGGCGCCTACGCGCTGCCCTCAGCCGCTCTTCGCAGACCAAATAACGCTGGCGCAGCGCCTTTGACTTTGTGCTTATTGCGTCGCAGTTGTTGGTTGCGGCCGCGATTTTGCAAGCCCGGGCTGGCGTCCTACAATCTAGCAACAGCGTCAAAGATGTGCCCAAGCCCCCTAAGTCCTCTCCTATCGCACAGACCCTGACAACTTTACGTCGCGAGACTCCTACCATATGGGAACTTACGGAACTTATCAACGCGACAACGTTACCATTGCACTCCTAAAAGCATTCCTAACTTCGCCATCAGTCCAGCGAGTGCTAGACGAGTTACAGGGAGGTCCAGTCAGGCGGCTCTGCTTTTCGTTGTCACAGTGTGTGTGAGCGGGTCTGCCGCAAGAGATACAGTTCTATGTCTCGTGTTGCTAGTGAGCCTGACGCATCCCCAATGCGTCCCCGACACATCCCCAACACATCCGCACCCCTGACACATCCCCAACACAGTCTACACCGAAACTTATTGGCACTTACCAATAGCTCAGTCAACTTCTGCGCTTCAACTTGACTTTAGTGTTGACGGCAAGTCGTAACTTTGCCGCTAGTGCTCTAACTTGCGCACAAGTCCTTATAACTTCCACAAGTAAGCCAGAGCCATTATGAAAGCAGCCATTGGGCTTAGTGTGGCTTGCTTCAAGTCGCAGTTCGGCCTTCGTCCAAGACCGCAGGAGCTTGTCAGCTGGCGCTCTTAACATTGAAGCTCGTGGTAGGATTTACTTGCCTTGCGCACGGCGGCCAACATCACCAGCATCGTCATCAAGGGCGCTTTGCAAGACCCGCGTCCTCCGCACATTCCGCCGCCGTTCCCGCCTTCCTTGCCCCTACCCTCCCCGCCCTCCTTCGCTTTTGCTTACTTCCTTGCTTCCTTGCTCTCTTGCTCTCTTGCTCTCCTTCCTTCCTTCCTTCCTTCTGCCTGCCTGCCTGCCTGCCTGCCTGCCTGCCTGCCTGCCTGCCTGCCTGCCTGCCTGCCTGCCTGCCGCCGGTCTGCCTGCCTGCCTGCGCCCGAAAACCACCAACCTCAACCCTAAACCTTATCCGCAAACCCCAAAGCCCCCAAGTCCTAAACCTTAAGCCCGAAGACCCCCCAGCCCCAAACCCTGAACCTTAACTCCCAAGTTCCAAGCCCTAAGCCCTAAAACTCTCAAGTCCCAAACCCTACAAAAACCAAACCCTAAACCCTAAAACTCCCAAAATTTCTGGTGAAAATATCGCCAGGCTACCAAAGAAAAACGCAGGCTCAGCGGCGGCAAGGGGTTCCAGTGCTTGTGGCCGGCGCCGTGAGCCGCGGAATCTTGAACTTCCCCGTCGTATGGAGGTGCGGCAGAGAAGGGGCGGGGGTGTTCTTTTTGTTTTGCAGATCGTGAATCCAACTAAGCTAGACAGCAGGTTCTTGTTTGAAACAAGTCCAGGCTACCACACAATAGCTGTGCCCGACGTGGGGTTTAAATCGTCGGGGTGTCACCTGATGGAGAAGGCTTCACGGGGTCGTACACCAGCGCAGGCCGACTTGTCAGGAGCGCGATAGCTACACATGTGTACGTCAAGTCGGCTTGTCACAGAGGGGTCCCCAGCGCTCTGAATAACCAAGAAGTCCTTCCTGAAAGGCGCGACCAATGTGTATCTCTACTCTCTTCAAGCGCCGGAGGCGCAACTCAGATGTTGCGACGAAGGCTGACTTTGCGCGGGATGGTCTGTCGCCTGTCATCGCCAGATTATCTCCAACCAGCGCAAGGGCCAAACCAAGAAGTGCCGCGCTTTGAGACAGTGTGCGGAGCAGAGACACCGTGACGCGTTCAAGCCTATAGACCCTGTATAAACGCTTGCCTAACTGGCGGTGAACTGTCAGATCAGCGAGAAAAACAAAACAGCGCAATGTCTTGAAAGAACAGCAAGACAATTACACAGATGGAAGGCTGAAGACGCAGTAACACGACCTCTTCATCGCAACCAGAACTTCGATCCAACACTTTCTCTGGCCCTGAGACTCCGGAGCTGCCAGCCCCCAAATCGGCAATGGCCGCTCCGAAGTCCAAATTAGTACATCAACATGGAGGTACTTTAGCGTACAGATTTATTTGGCGAACTTAGCTCCCATTTATCTAACTTAGCAAAACTGCATCCGCTAAGCGGTTATAGCTCACTTACTAAGGTTGCTAAGTCTTGACCTAAGTTCTGGCTAAGTTCTAGCTAAGTTATTGGAAAGTGCGCGGAGAAGGGTATATCGCTGTCTCCCCGACACGCGTGCGCGTGTATCCAGCTAAGCCCACATCGCACCGCAAAACAAACAGGGCTTTTGACCGCAGATGCGTGTGGTTGCAGCGCGCTTTTGCATGGATGAAAGGACATGCTGGGATAACTGCTGGCCTTCAAACATGGACATGTTTTGTGCGCCTGCGTTTAGCGGCTATAGGGCCGCTACATTGAGGCCGCTATATTTTCAATTCCCCCCCCCCATGCATGCAGTGTCTTGGCGGCGTGCGCATTGTGTAGCCTTTAGCGGCGCGGCGACCAGACTCAAGTAAAAACATCAGGGGCCATATAGGAAGTAAATAGCGCAGAGACTACTATAGGGGCCATGCCTCTGTGACGGGTTTTAGTGCCCTGCAGGGATTGTTTGTTCATTTGCTTGAGCAAAGGGGCTCCGTGTCGGGCACGCCTGCTGAGCAAAGGGGCTCCGTTTTTTTTGGCGCGTATACTGGGCAAGGGGCAGCCAACCAAACAAAACGCACTTTAGCGCAAGGGAGGATCTGTAGCGGCCAGGGGCCGCTAAGCTGCTGAACAACCGCACTTTAGCGGCATGCGCTAAACCGCTATAGAAGCAAACTTTAGCGGCCGGGGCCGCTAAGCCACTATAGTTTTGGGCCACGCCTCTGTGACTATAGCGCCCAGGGGCAGCCAACAAAAAAAGCAAGCGCTATAGGGGGGTGCTAAGAGTTAGACCAGACCTTGCCAATCTTTTTTCTATAAAAAAACCTAGGGTCCTCCCTACACTTTTAGCAACATTTTAAAACAGCGCCTCAAAAAGCACATTTTCAAAAATCAACATTTTAAAGCAGGTAATTTCCTAGTAAGTTCATCCATATTTTAAAATATAAATTTTCAAAAAATATAAATTTTTAAAAAAAATACAAAAATAAAACAAATAAAAAATAAATTTTACAAAAGTAAAAAATAAATTTTACAAAAAAAATAAAAACAATTTCAAAAAATATTATTCCAAAAATTATGATAAATTATTATACAATAAATTTTATCACAAATTTTGTAGACATATTATGGGCAAGGTATGGTTCATTCGTTTTTTATAATTATTCAAATCTTCTTTCAAACATTTCATATTTACACAATATGTTAAAATCAACTGCATCTAATTTTTCTTTGCTACAAATCCATTTGTTGCCATTCTTTTTTATTTCGATTAACCATTCAAATTCTCTAAAGCTTAAATACCACCAATTGGATGTCTTTTGACTGTATGAATAGTTTCCAGCATTTCTAATTATTCGTTGGTTGTTGGTTTGTTCCATATATTTTATCATTGCATGTTTTAATGGGATGTAATTTTTCGTTTCAATATTGTTTATCATTTTATGATGTTCTGTAACTTCCTTTTCTAACCGTTTTTCAGTTACAAATCCGTAACTGTCATCTTCTTCTTCTTCTTCTTCTGTTTTATTATCATTATCACTCAAAAAATCATCAATTATTTTAGTTTCCTGTTGTTCAATATAAGTTAAGAATTCATTGATAATTTCTTCCTGTTCAACCTCTGTAAATACAACCATTTGTATGATAATATATATAATTAATATTTCTTTAAGCACTTTTTACAAGAAATTAAATTAATAAATTAAAATTAAATTAATAAATTAAAATTAAATTAATAAATTAAAATTAAATTAACAAATTAAAATTAAATTAATAAATTAAAATTAAATTAATAAATTAAAATTAAATAAAATAAAATTAAGTTAATAAAATAAAATTAAATTAATAAATTAAAATTAAATTAATAAATTAAAATTATAATTAAATTATCATAATTAAATTATAATTGCTAAAATTGGATTATCATCATTAAAACTTAAATCCCGTGCAATTTTACAAACAGAACCACTGCCTGAAAATAATTCTAATAAATTCATATTATTAGAACTATTTGTATTTTAATTTTCAACAATTACATATTTACCATCATCGCCCTTAATTAGTTTATAATATTCTAATGTTTGTTCTTTTGGACTTTTGATTTGTCCCTTATTTAACATATCACAATATTTTTTACGCTTCGTGTCATAATCACCGCTGGGTCTGCCTATCCCTTTCTTTTCAAAGATCTTATCAATCTTTTCCTTCTCTTCATTGTTATTTTTTGGTTCGTTTGCCTTTGCATCAAGTTTCTGGTCAATAGTTTTTATCATCTCGTACAACAGTTTAACATTTTTACTAACTGTCATTATCTTCTTTGATAGTTCAACAATAACATCATTTTCAACTTCAGACATTTCTATATATATTTATTTATATAATTATTTATTTAAATATTTATTTGTTTATAAAATTGATTTAATGTAAAATCTACTCTTTAAATACTAAATTTTCATTATTTGTTTAATAGTTTCCGGAGTTTCTTTATCACCATTTTCCGAGTGTGTAGCCTCATTTCCAAATTTGATAGAACTATTATGCACATCTGTTTCTAGATTGATAGCGTCCTTTGTTTTATCAATATTCATTTTTTATCTGTTTTACTTATTTTAAAACCAACTGGTATACAACTGCATTTACAGTTACCCTTATTTTTTATTTCTAATTCATTCTTCGTTTGTAATATCTTTTTACACATAGGACACTCAAACTCAATAACTGATGTTTCTTTAACAATTTCTTCTTCTTTTTCTTCATCTGTTGAAGAAACTGTAGTATCTGTTTTATTCTTTTTGTTTTTCTTTTTTCCCATTTATATTAATATTTACATTTTTATTTTGATATATTGTATTCCTAATTTTATTAACTCTAATGTATAATAACAGCATTTCTTAATTTTATTGTCAGTTATTATTACTTGTTCTATATTCTCTACTTCATCTATTATATCAATATAATCTGAATAACTTCTATCCATATTAAATAATAAGATGAAATAATTATTAAAATAATTATTTAATCTTATTATTTTCATGCATAATAGAATATTGGTGGGGCACAGCACTTGGGTTTTCATTGCACACGCGAGCAAGACACAAAACTAATTATCTTCAATGCTTATTGATTGAAGCAATGGAAAACCTGTTCCATTATGTTATTCACCGCCACTCATAACATAATGATGTTCCATTTAATATTAATTACAAGTTAATTTTTAAATATAATTTTCTATATTTCTTTAATATCAACTATGACAGATGTCCCAATAATAAAACCAATAAACATAACTGAATATGAATTCAAACAATCCAAATATGAGCACGTGCCAAAATTACCATTTAGAAGTATTATAGTTGCGAGTTCGACGGGAGGCAAAACAGTTTTAGTTCAGAATCTTATTTTAAATGTTTATAGAAATTCATTTGCAAGAATATTTATATTTTCACCCAGCGTTCATAATGACCCAACTTTTACAGAAGTTAAAAAATACATCAGGGATGAATTGCACGTGGATGATGAAAAAGAACAAATATATTTTGATAATTATAACCCAAGTGATTTAGAAAATGTAATTGAAAGACAGAAGAAAATAATTAATTATATGAAATCTAAAAAGATAAAGAAACTGCATTCAATATTAATCGTTATAGATGACCACGCAGACGATCCTAAATTTGTTAGATATAGTAAATTATTACATGGATTATTTACAAGAGGTAGGCACGATGCAGTAAGTGTAATTTGTTCAACACAAAAATATAATGTTTTAGCGCCTATCATTCGTTTAAATGCCAGTTCATTATATATTTTTAGGTTGAAAAATGCAAGTGAGTTAATGAGTTTTATTGAAGAAAATAGCGCCATTGTTGATAAACAGCAATTATTAGATATGTATCATCAAGCCGTTAATGACGCACCTTATAGTTTCTTCTACGTGAATATGAATGCTAAAGACATTAACAAAATGTTTCATATCAGATTTGAACAGGCGTTTCAAATTACGAATGATGAATAAAGATATTCTAATTTAATATAATATAATAATATGTCAATGAAACTATGTAGATGTGGTGGATTTTATCGTAGAGGTAATTATAATTTTCATACTAATTCTTGGATACATAAACTTTATAAAGTATTGAAAAGAAGGGCAACAGACGAGGAATT